AGTGCAAAAGGGATCAAGAGTATGAGTTTGGATTATGACAAGCAGTGTGTCACTGTAATCTTATACCTGCCAATTGCTGAAGTTACTGCCATATTTAATTTAATTTAAACAATGTCTAAGAATATGAACTTCTTCAAAGACATTATTGGGATGGCATTAAGGAGGGTACTTATTGTGATTAGCCCTGGGTGTTATAGGTCAGTGATGAACCCCTAAATTCTACTCCTGAAACCACTATACTCTATATTTAACTAACTTGAATTTAAATAAAATCTTGAAAGAAGGAACAAAAAGATATTATTGAGTGGACCAAAAAAATATAGATGACAGTCCAGCTGATAGAGGACTGCTTAGTAGGCTTCTGGAATAGACATCCAGGAACCTACTATATATTCTTGTCCTCAATGATTTCATGGACATGTTTCTGAATAGTTAAAGAATAATTCCACCTAAAAGCATAGTGGTATGGTTGTTAATAAAGATGGCATGACCAGGCCACTACAACCCCTCAATGTTTCAGTCAACAAACCATTTAAGGACCATTTGCAGAAGGAATGTGAGTCCTGGTTCTTGTTTGAAGGTTTTCTATTAAGACCTTCTGGTAATATCAAGAAAGTGCTAGCATCAAAACTTACAGAATGGAGACAGTAGCTGTGCATGCTTTAAAGAAATGCTGCATCACCAGCATTCCTGATGTCCCAGAGGACATTATTTTATGGAATAATATGAATGCCAATGGGACTAAGTTGAAAAGAGATTCAGAAAATTTGAATTCTAAGTAAGTGAAGAAGTTTTAGGAATACATTAACCAATTTACTTCACATGTATTACCCTTTTTATATATGCACAGTGCTGATATGTGATTTTAAATATTTATATCTCTATAGAAATAAATCCAGAGTTCTTTCAATAAGGATAAAATAAAATTTCCAAGTGATAAAAAGTATTATGTCATAGTTTATATTTTTGCTTCAAAGCTAAACGCATCATTAAAGTTCAGTTCACAGAAATGGCAGGATTGACTCACTAGTATATCATACGTCTGAATGTGTGTGAGAGAACCCTAGGGAGAACAATCCACAAGATAGATTTTAGCATGCCTCTCTCAATAACTGATTAAATTAATCAGAAAAAAAATCAACAGAGATGCAGAAATCTGAACAAAACAACTGACACACATTGGGCTAATGAGCCTGTGTAAGACATTTGCACTGCATGCAGACTTCACATTCCCCACAAGCTCATATGGGACATTTACAGAAGGTTCATCTGCTGGGCCACAAAGCAAGTCTTAGCAAATTTTAAGTGGTTAAAGTCACTCAGAACATCTACTCTGATTAGAATTTTTTAATCTATAAAAAATGAGTGGAAAAAAAAAAAACCCAGAGAAGTAGAAAACCCCTATGTTTGGAAATTAACCAAAACATTTATTTCTAAACAAGACATAGGATGAAGGTAAAATCCTGATGGAAGTTAAATGATAGAAAAGGGAGAAAAATGTTATCAACATTCACAAAAGATATGATTTGTGTATGTAGAAAATCTGAGAGAGTTTACAGATCAATTGCTAGAAATTGCTAAGAGATATTAAAAATACATTATTAGAGGGGTGCCTGGGTGACCAAGTCAGTTAAGCGTCAGACTTAGGCTCAGGTCATGATCTCACGGTTTGTGAGTTTGAGCCCCGCGTCTGGTTCTGTGCTGACAGCTCAGAGCTTGGAACCTACTTCCGATTCTGTGTCTCCCTCTCTCTCTGCCCCTCTCCTGCTCACACTCTCTCTCAAAAATAAATAAACATTAAAAGTTAAAAAAACCACACATTATTAGAGTCAATAAGATTTTTGCTAAGTTGCTAGATTCAAATTCAATATACGAAAGTCAAATATATTTCTACATACCAGCAAAAATAATTAGGAAAGAAAGATATAATTTATTCTATTATCAAAAATACCAGTTATATAGAAATAAACCTAACAAAACAATGTGTAAGATCTCCATAGATAATTATAATGCTTAATGGAGAGACATTAAAGAAGACCTAAATAAATGGATTAGAACACAATTATAAAGATCCCAAATGTATCTAAAGATTTAGCAACATTTAAATTCTCAACATGATCATGTGCGTGACTGCAGGCAGACAAGCTGGTTCTAAAATTTATATGGAAATGCAAAGAAACCTATTTTGCTTGACGTCGAAACTTATTATAAAGCTCTAGTAATTAAGATAGCTGGTTGATAAAACAGAGATAGGTAGAATCCTAAATGGAATGGAGTCCAGAAGCAAACCCACCCGCATGTGGACACTTGATGTATGAGACTCAGCCCAGCAGAGCACAGTGGGGGAAAGACGTCAGTAAATATTGTCAGAACTGGGTACCCACATAGAAAAATGTGAAAAGGACCTCTCATTATTAACAAGCTCCAAGAGAATTACAGTGAAAAACAATACGATAAAAAGGTAACAGGGAAAAAACCTCCAGGACTTCAGGTTAGGGAAAAACTTCCTAAGTCATAAAAAAAGCATTAATCATAAAGGGAAGAATTAATAAGTTTGATTTCACCAAAATAAATACTTCTATTCATTGGCACTTATGAAAGCACAGCCACAGGGCAGAAGATAATGTGCTACCCATATATAAGACAGACACACACCCAACAGAAAATGGACAGTTTTCTCTCTCTGGCGTTATCTTCCTTCCTTCCTCCCACCAACACAGTCAGGGGTGTTTTTTATTTTGTTTTGTTTGGGTTGCGTTTGGTTTCGGTTTTGATTGCTTTTCTTTTTTCTTTTTTCTTAAGGTTCATACACGTGGTAACTGAAAGATGAACAGGAGTACATCATTGATATTTACCAAAATAAAAAGCAGTAATTTGGTTTTGAATCTGTAGTGATCAATTTTCCATGAGATGTTTTTGTCTCATACATTTAAGTGAGGGACTAAGTTAGAAAAATGCAGAAGGAAAAGTGAAAAGATAGGCTAGATGAAAACAATGGTGATGCTGTGCTCTCTTTAACTAAGGGAGAAAAATAAACAGTTTAACCTTATAAGACATGAGGGGAAGTTGAATCTGAAAGGGAAGGTAAAATAGTTCAAGCAGGAAAGGAAAATGAAAATGTACACAACAGAGCTGAGAAATGTTGAAAGATAGTATCTGAATGATCACGGGAAAGCTCCCATAAGGGTGAGAAAAACAAAGACAAATAATGGTGATTCTCAGGGTCTTAGCGGAACTCCAGATCTTGGGAAGAGTTTTCAAGTTTACATAAATAACAGAGCCTCCAAATGAGCCCTAGAAGAAGAAGCCCTCTATTTTTAAAACCAGGATATTTAAAAATTAAAGGCAAAATGAGAAAGCATTATCTTTCTTGGGAAGTTGAACAGGAGTTATTTGGAAAAAAATCAATAGATAGGAAAATTAACAACAGGAGCAAATTTCTAACTACAGACTGTCTGAAGTTGTCAGCATGCAGAAATGGGAAATTTGGTATCTTTGCTAAAGAAATAGAATCATTTTCATTTCTTTACCTTATCGGCTGTTGTCAGTTTATTTTTGTTTTTTGTTTTTTTTTTTTCTTTTGGAGCTTTCTGATTTAAGAGGGAAGAAAGGTTTTTGCAGGTTGTAGAATATGGAAGAGCAGGAACTCAGAAACTTGGTGTTTACCCTAGGTTTACAAATAAAAGTCCCAACTGATGTGCATCACCTAATAAAATTATGGCAGCAGTGAAGGTCATAAAAATGTTTACAACCTCATTTCTTTCCTTGAAAGATCCTTTGGTTTATCAATCTGTATAATCTTACTTTTGATTAATCGCCAATTTTCCACTTTATGGGTCGTTATTCTGTCTTTTTTTTCTGTTATTGACCTTTTGACCGTTTAGTAGATAATTATCACTTCCTTCAGAGAGGAGGGTGGAGGGAAACTAAATACTTTTCTACATTTATTAAGCATCCTGTTAACCCTGGCTTGGAAAAGTCCTCGTAACAAAGAAGTTTAACACTCCTAAAATAATGGTGGTGTTGCAGATAGTTCTATAAACCAAGACATCTCAGACCCCTGCAGGGCCCTGGCAAGTGAGGTAAATCAGTGCCTGGATTTCTCAGTGGTGGACAATCAGGCACACATTTCCCCCGAAGGGATTACAATATTTGAACTTACACAACATACCTAGTGGCTGAATTAAACCCACAGACTGCCAGCTGCCAATGTCTGCACCAATGTCTGCATAGGTAATAAAAAATGTAAATGCTTAGGTGTGATAAAAGTATTACTGCTAAGGGGCGCCTGGGTGGCTCGGTTGGTTAAGCATCCAGCTCTCGGTTTCAGCTCAGGTCATGATGTTGGCAGCTCATGAGACAGAGCGCCCTGTTGGGCTCGGTACGGACAGTACAAGAGTGCTCTCCCTCTCTCTGTCTCTTTCTGCCCCTCCCTTGCTCTCACTCTCAAAATAAATAAATAAATATTTTCTCAAAATAAATCTTTCTATTTTTCTCAAAATAAATAAATATTTAAAAAAAAAAACATATTATTGCTGAAATGTGTGATAGTTCCACTCTAGTAAACTCACAGTTATAAGCCAGTCGACATGAAAGGCTTGGACCGAAGAATGCTTGAAGCATACCATAAAGTACAGAGTTAACAAGTGAACAGCTGGGACCACCTGGTTCATAATAATTTACGAAGAAGTAACTCTTTTACCTAAAACTTACCTTACGCATAAAATAAACGGAACCTCCTGAGTGTGTGTTCAGAGCCTTTCCTACAGAAGTGTTCAAGAACTCTTTAATTATTAAAAATGATTTTTGAGGACACAGCAATATGCTACAGAGGAGTTTCATTCACAATATAAGTTTCTGTGGCTTTAGGGCAAATGTTGAAATAAATCCCAAGTCATTTCCTATATTTAATGAAAGGTTATTTTTGATTTGCAAGTAGTGATGTTTCCTTACGATGTATACATTTAAGCTTTTATGTTGTTTTTGCTCACTTTTTTCAGGGCAAATTTCATGGAAATCCAATGCATGTAGCTGTGGTCATTTCAAACTGCTTAAGGGAAGAGAGGAGGATATTGGCTGCAGCCAACATGCCCGTTCAGGTAATATTTTCTGAGCTTGTGATCTTGTTATCACCTTGAACTCAATTTTTCTGAGACAGATAAATTCTTATCTTCTTCCCATCAAGCTCCTTCTACCTATGCTAATGGTGCCAACCATCCTTCCGATCACTTGGAATCAAGGTCATAGGATCATTTTTGAGTAGTTCCTTGTCCCTGCCTTCATACTGAGATAATTACCTCATCCGTCTAGAGTTTGTTTCTGGAATCCTATCTATACATTCTTCTCTGTTTCCATTGGTCACCCTCTGATTCACGATCTTAAAACACCAGTTGGGGAATATAGTTAACTATCTCCTAGTTGAATTCCTAACTACCATTTGGATTTTGCTTCCCTCAGCGTGTTTATCCTTAGGGATTGATGTTGCTCAAAACCTCCTATAATCTCCCGATTTCCTACCCCACAAGTCCAAAACTACTCCACAAGCAAAAACTTTATCTTTTAGAAACTCCACAAATACCTGCTTGTGGATTGTTTCAATGTACTTTGCACCTGCCATTTTTTAGATTCTATTTTATCACCCTATCCTGAATGAATTCAGAGCCCCCAACCAAGACTCATAGAGGAAAGAATGAAGCCCTTGGGAATACTTTTTCAGTTAATCCTTATAAAAAGGAAAGAATATGTAAGTAATCAGTTTTCCAAATGACATCCTCCATAATTTAGTAAATCACACCACTATATTTATTTTTAAAAGCCCAAGAAAAGTATCTTTTTTTGGAACTGTTAAGAATTTTTAGATTTAACTATTGTCAGGTTATGGTTGTTTTGGGAGAAGTATGAAATTTTAACAATTTCTTCTTTCTTAGATGAAGAAGGGCAGTATCATTTTTATTTAATTTAAAATCTAAAGTATAGTGCTGCTAAAGTAAATATAGCTTGATTCATAACTGGGTAAAAATTAAGATTCTATGACTACTATTATATGATATTCTTATATATCCTCAACTCTGCTTTTCTATATCCCTCTTATCTCTAGTCATTGTAGTGTGTGTGTGTGTGTGTGTGTGTGTGTGTGTGTGTGTGTTGTTGTCTTTAAATGTCAGATATCAGTCAAATTAGAAGCTACGAATAATCTCCCAGCTACAACATGGTACCACATGCTACCATAAAAGAAGCACTGTTGTAAATTTCAAACCTTCAAACCAATATACAACTATCTGGATGGATCTATAGATAGAGAGAGAGTGAGAGACAGAGAGAAATAACTGAAGGCAAAATGAGAGAGAAGGAACTTTATAAATATTTTCCAATCTGAAGAATGTAGTGTAGTTGAAAGAACACTTGACTGCCAGCCACCCGCATCGGCTCTACTTGAGGTTCCACCCGATTTGCTTGGTCAGGTCATCAGCCTTTCTAACCGTAGCTCCTGGCCCAGCTATAAGGTAAAGGGGTTGCTGATGTTCTAACTCTCATCTCTGGGTATCTGTAGACTTTGATACCAAAGGAACGCACTCAGTTTCTTTATATCTGAGGAACACTCAATGTTAGATTATTTGAATGGCCAAGAAAATGGTGCTTGGAAAAGTTGGTTAGCACCTTTCTGTTTAACTAGGCTAACAGTTTCAGATATTCTTTAGTGAGCTCCCTTTTGTTCTGGTGTAAAAGTAAATCTCATCCCAGCAGATTCAACATCCCTAATTCTGAATTTAAGTCCAACTTAACGTAGCCACTATACTCATTTTTAAATTACATGTATTCATTTTATAGAATTTCGAAAGTAACAATAGGTCTGTTGTAGAATGTTAGGAGAAAAAGTTTAAGCCATAAAATCATCCGTAACTTCACTTATATACTGATAACATTTTAGTGTGTGTGTTCTTCCAATCATATGTACTTAAGTTCACATGTCTATGCATATATCCATATATTTCTACATACATATACATATATAAGAACTAGAGATCACAAACACATGGTGTTTTTATAATTTGCTCTTTTTCTTAACAACTTAGTGCTACTTTAAATGTCATTAAATATTTTTCTAAAGCATGCTTTTTAATAGCTGTAGAATGTTCCATATCATACTGATCCAAGCCTCAGTTCAAAGTATGCTACATATGCTACACTTGTTATAAACTTGTTTTATCCACATCACTGAAAGTTCAAGACATCTTTTTTCTAGGGACCTTTGGAGAAATCCTTACAAAGTTCTTCAGTTTCAGAAAGGCAGAGGAATGTGGAGCACAAAGTGACTGCCATTAGAAATAGTGTGCAGGTGAGTGTTTCATGAAAAATTAGCAAGGTGGCCCTAACTGTGCCTCTTTTTCTTATGTGCCCAAAGCTAGTACATACAGAAATCATAGGGTAACTTGTCAATAAGATAACTATCTCTCACACACTATGTTCATATTAGAAAAGATTTCTTTGGGGGAAACTTTTCAACTTCAATTTACTGGAGACTGGAGCTCCCCGCCCCCCAAATTCTAAGCCTCTAACCTTCACATCTGTAATGTCTGCATCTTCATCTGCAAAAGTGAGGATAACCACCACCACGGGCTTGTTGTGAGGACAAATGAGATGATGTAAGGAAAGCCATTAGCCCAGATCTTGGCACTTAATACCTATTATGTCTGAGCAGAAATATATCACCACGTTTGGAGAAAAGCAAAGTGAAATCTTGAAACATAAACAAACAGGAGACATAGAGGAAGCATAGATATTTTTCTAAGAAGCAGAGAGGGACTGTAGGCTGAATTGTCATAAAGTACAGCAGATTAGAATAGAGCCTTTCAGTGAAAAGATAACTGATACATTAACGCAGAGTTGTAGGGAACTAAAAGGGAAAAGGTATCCATATTCTCCAATAATAAAAAAAAAAGTAATTAGTAGCATCATTTGGAACTGAGAGATAAAAGGCAAGATGCTGAAAGATTTTCAAACAATAAGGAAGAAAAAATGAAGAGAACATTTTGTCTGGTTCTTCCAGTGCTATTCAAACTTCATGGGAATTAGCTCTTTAGAAATGTAGATTGTACACACTTCATCTAGGACATGACTGAAGCCCCAAATAGTGTATTTTGAAACACTGATGATGATATTTCCCTGATGTGCTTACATGTAACAACAGACTATGTTTTCTTTTGTAAAAAGATGACAGAACAAGACACCAAATATTTAGAAGACCTGCAAGATGAATTTGACTACAGGTATAAAACAATTCAGACAATGGGTAAGTTTTTATTTTGTCTGTAGTTCTACCTAGGGACATAAAGACAACATGACTAGGACTTATTCTTTACTGACAAAATTGATAAATTGATCTACTTCCCTAAGTGAAGTGCTTTTGTTTTTGTTTTGAAGAGAGAGTGCAGGAGAGTATTTTGCTTCCTCCTTTTCCCTCTTTCTGTTTCTCTGTGTGTGAGTGTCTGTGTGTGTGTGTGTGTGTGTGTGTGTGTGTGTGTGTATACCAACCAATTCAAAGTAAATTATACAGCTCAAGAGAAATCAGAATCAAAATATCATTATCACAACTAAGAAAAGTAATAATAGTTCCTAGCATGATCAGGAAATTACTAATATCATCCCTAAATGAGTTTTTTAAATATAATTTCTTAAGTTGTAAGTAGAAATATAGGGTGCCTGCCTGGCTGAGTGAATAGAGCATGAGGCTCTTGATCTCAGGGTCATGAGTTCAAACTCCACCTAGGGCGTAGAGCCTCCTTAAAAAAAAATTTTTTTTTAATTGTAAGTAGAAATGTGATTCACTGTAGGAAATTTGGGAAGTAGACAAAAGCATTAAAAAATTAAAGATCATACAAAATTCCACCATCTATAGATAAACACTGTCAAAATGTTAGTATACTTCCTTCCAGCCTTTTCCCTATATATTCAAATACATACATATCTATTTATTTGCAATAATAATAATAATACACAGTTTTGTGTATTGCATTTTAAACTGAAGTTTTAACTTAAATATTTCCCTGTATCATAAAAAATCTTCAAAGACATAATTTCAATAATTGTATGAATGTCAGAACGTAAGAACACTGCAATTATTTGATTATCTCTGTGATTAAACACTGAGTTTGTTTACAATTAGATGTTTTTTAAAAAATGGAAAGGGAAAAAAAGCAATGAAAGAATGAGAATATTTATAAGGTCTAAAATTTACAAGTAACAATGGATTGATCATTCGAAGTGTACTGCCATTAGTGGGACAATTGAGGAAATTCCAATTAGGTCTAGATTAGCTAATCGGATGTACCAAACAATTTGCAGGCTTTGGTAATTGTACTACACTTATGTAAGATATTAGAGGGAGCTGGATAAAGAACAGATGGAAACTGTACTATTGTCGCAACTCTTTTGTAATTCTGAAATTATTTTCAAATAATTTTTCAAAACAAATCGGATAGAAATCTTTTATTTACTGAAGCATTTTAAACTACTGAGATGTTAGCTTAAAACTTCTGGAAGGAAGTATGGATGACTGTGACCAAGTGCTTAACTGTCATCT